ACTTCTCAGCTTGCTTGTGGTCATCACAGTTCAGTGACACATCGATTTGACTTATTTGCATTCAGCACCATGTTTGTCTTTATGGTTGCCACAGCATTGTGACGCATCGATCGGATTTGTATTAGACATTTGCAGCGCTCATCTCAAGTGGTGAGGACGTAAGCCGCAGTAGCCTTTTCCAAGAAGCCTGGAGAGAGTGCTTGTGCGCCTTGAAAAGAGTGCCACGTAGTGCGGGTCGTCGTGGTTTTTTGGCCCTGGAAATGGGCCAGCCTACGAAACTTTATGAATATATTCAAGACTGGATCACTGCCGGCATGCCATTTTGGAGGACGCTTCTCCGCTTGTTGGTGACAACGCGCTGGAGCCTTCCTGCTCCGCCAAGTGCACGGGTCCTCGCTTGTTCGTGGACGACCTTTTATGTGCACTTCTTTTGCACCATCTTAGCACCATTTTTAGTGGCGCGGCTGGCAAATCAACTTTGCCCACGACACCAATCAGCTTCCGGCCAGCAAATTAGCCAAGTTGCAAGAACTAATCCGCGGCCTCTCAGACAGGAGAGTTCTTCGCAAGACTTTCGAAAAATATATTGGCCCGCTCATCTGGGCGACTTGCACCTAAGACCGTGGCTTGCACCGTTGCCCACCAGGAGGCCACAACAGTTTCATGGGGGCGCGGGAACATTCTCACACTCGGGACCCAATTGCACCGCATGTGCATTTAAGAATGTGCAACCTTTGACTGCGCAACTTGATAAAGTCTTCACTGAGGGTGTTTAGGCTACAAGCAGTGCACCAGGCCTTTAACACAAATGGCTCTATGCGAGTTGGTCTGCGCAAGTTGGTCTGCGGATGGCTTTGTGCAGCTTGGTCTGCGTAGGTGACTCTGTGCAAATGATTTTATGCAAGTTGGTCGGTGCAGATGGCTCTGCGTAACTTGGCCTGTGTTGGTGACTTTGTGCAAACTAGTCCGTTCTGGAAAACACATGTCAGTTGTCCTCCAATTGACTTATTTGTTTTCCTCAAGGATGGGGGGGATGTGCTTGGAAGGGATTTTAGGGGGTCGACCTTTGGGTTTTCCAATGTTGGTTCTGAGGCTCCAAGTCACGTTGAAAGGTTTCCAAATCGGTGGTGCGTCGTATGCGTGTCTTAAAAGGGAGGCCCCCCCAACCGATGGCTTTGAGTTTGGGCCGCTTACTACAAGGGGGGCACGTTTGTGAGGAACCCTTGCTCGTTTTTTTGGCATTGAAATAGCTCCAACGATATGAGAGATCCTCGTCAAAAAAACGTGCCCCATGCAAGACAAGGAACGCCATGAGGCCGTCACCCGGCAGTGTGGCCACAAGCGTGAATGCGTGACATTGAAAGAACTACCCTTTCTATTCATCCCTTGTTTATGGGGAGCGGCTGGTTCGCCGCCGTGGAACCATCATCACTCCGTGCGTTTCGAGTGGTTTGAGGGGTTGAGGGGGGGCGGAGGGGGCCAGTGGAATGATGACGTTCGCTGGAGACAGCTTCGAATGTTCGCAGATATCGGATGCTTTGCGCGCTCTTTGCTTTGTCTTTGCTTCTTCTCCGGCTTGGCTTGCGTTCGCTTCCTCTCCCGACTTTGATCCGCGGCGGTCATCGCGGAGCCAGACAGGTTCAAAAGGCTTGTCAGTTTCGCGATGGGCAACGGTTCTGGCACTTTGTTTGCTCAATTCAAGCCGGAGTGTGGTTCGCCCGGCTTGGGAGGTTGGCTAGTGCCATGACAAAACGACCAGCCAATTGTCTTTCTTCCATGCCACCACGCGCAGCGTTATTTATTTTTATTTTTTTCCCTTGCCGAGATTTGCTTCGGAAGAGGAGCTTGACATGATGTTGCATTGTGTGTGTTTTCGGAAATTATCATCTCACTTGTGGAGTTGTGGACAGTTTGTTTTTTGAAGCAACAACATCAAACAATGTCTTTTTGTGCAGCTGCCATGCTGTCATCAAACATGACAGTGGCAACATGCAGGATGGGACAGATGTAAAACAAGCAAATACAGACATCTATTTTGCGGTTGATGGACAAATCGTTGCAAACAATACCTTTCAAGGCCATCATTACCAGTCAATGGCTGCATGCATACGACACGCAAACAGCTTCATGTTGATGTTCAATATGTTTCTAGTGTTGTATTATGTATAAATAGCATGAATCGAATTGCCTGAACAGCGTGTGATTTGTAAATGTTGCTGGCTGTGCTCACAGTGCATGGATTCTGGCAGCACATGGCAATCATAATTGGAATGTTCCTGGTTGCATGCGACTAGACACAATCAACAACCCCACCCCTGGCGAATCAACACGTTGGGGATGGCAAAAAGGTGAGCGACCAGCATTGATCCCTGGAGCAGTCAGCTGTTTCGCACGTCCAACAATTTTCAGACGGTCAACCGCGGCCATGTCGTATTTGGTTCCGCGGGAGAAGAAGGACTCAGCGTGATGCGTGCATGGGCACTTTGGGGTAGATGGTTCACAGGCATTTGCGTCAAATGTAGGGATCATTTGTTTCATTCTTAACGTATTGCCATTGAATGGGCGTCGTTGCCGAAGAATTCACCCATTTTGGGGCAGCGAATTCACTTTTGGCAGGCGGCTGGAACCCTTTGCCCGAGGCTTCCAAAACTTTGGGTGAAGATGGGGACTCCGAAAACACCAGGTTTGGCTAGGAAGTCCCATGCAAAGTTTGAGCGCTGATTGCATTTTCTGAATGTCCGGGTCGGGTGGGGATCTCCCGAGCTTAGGATGACGCGCCTACCCCGTCCGTCGAGGCAGGTGAGTGGAACGGAAGGTGTTCGCATTGGCCAGCGCACGTGTCCGCCAAGGGAAGGATCCTTATCCGATGCCACTTGGGGTGTGTCCGGAAATGGGCCTTTTGGATCGTGAGGCAAGCGAAGGGACGCCAGTTTGAGACTCTCTTTGCAAATTCACATGGCGGCCACAACAGGGGTTCCCCCCGACAAGATCCCCTCAAAAGATCTCCATGGAAGTTTGGCTTCTATGTGGTGGCGGACTTTTTTTCTCCGGGTTTCCGGTTGGTTTTCCTTCAAACCAACATCAAAAAGATAGCCTCACTTTCCGTAGGCCCACAATTCCCCTGAGGAGGAGGATCCCGTCTTTGACCAGACCCCGGTCAAAGTGGCATGCCCTCACTGCCGCGCGGGGCCCGGCGTCGGCTTTGCTCCGCCGTGTCTTGGGAGTTTTGGCAACTCCCCTTGAAGAATCAAAGGACCCTCAAGGGGCCAAAAAGGTGTGCAGTGCCAACCCCTCTTTTTCCGTGCTGCTGTCCATGGTGGACATTGAGTGAAGCTACACCTCCCGCAGATCAGGGAACATGTTGGGCTCCCTGTGAATTGAAGCTACACCTCCCGCTCAGGGAACATCTTGGGTTCCCTGTGAAATTTTGGGGTGTGTTCTGCAGGAGTCCAGATCATCACCTTCATCGAGCACGAAAGCAGCTGGGTGACGTTTGCCGTCTGCATCGCCTTGGCCTTGGGTCTTCGTGAGCCTGATGCAGCATGCGCATTTTTTTGTTGCATTGGTGAAAGGGAAACCAAAGGAAAACCACCATTTTGGGGGGTTGCCTGGAAAAAAGGAGTGCGGGAAGTCTGGCAGGCCCTTTTTTTTCCAAGCGGCGGAAAACCACGGAAGTTTCCCATGCAATTATTCAATTCGTGCGCTCTGGATCGCCCAGGTCCTATTTTTGGTCCTGAACTGGGCACATCTGGCATCATTGCCTGCGTTTGGACTGCCGCGTTTCGCATTTTTCCATGACTGCTGAATTGTGGAATGATCCCTGAACCCGGTTGGAGCCTCAAAGGGGTTTGGGCGGCTTAAACATATGACCTGGGCTGCAGACTATGTGGACTGGATCTGTGGACAAGTTGTGCCACCATGGGACCCGGAAAGCGATAGGCGGCTTTTGGGGGGCCTCATGGTTGCGTGTTATGCAGAGTATTCGTTCTGGCCATCTGGAAATGAGGGCGGCCAACGGATCGTCACATCCGGGAAAATAGCCAAAGCTTATGCTATATGTTGGGGCCCCGGCCAGACTTTACAGGGGGCTCGCTCACCCTGAGTCCGAGCGTGACAGGCAGCGCTCTGCATAGTGCCCGTGGTCTACCCGCTCTTTAAGGAGCTGCAAAGCTTTCGCATGGATGGCCACAGCCCAGACCAGGGCAGATTCAGGATGAGAGATACGCCATGATTGTTGGAAACATTTTACATTTTTGCTTATTGTGGTTTAGTGGTTGAAATCCAAGCACTTAACTGCTAAGCAAAACTTTTGCTCGCCTTCCAGCGTCAGCCAAGACTCCCCCTTTTCATGGCTCGATTGCGCCCCCGTTACAGTGCCAAGATCTGATCGTGCCGCCCACAAGCGCGGCCTAGGTTTTGGTTTTGGGGGGGGATTGACAGTTGTGGGATCGAGACTCGTATGGGAAGCAGATCTCAAATGTAGCTGCGAACACATTGCCGGCTGGGTCCTTGCCGAGGGGCAAGTCTTGGGGCTGTCTGTGGTTCATTTGGGGAAGCCACAAACTGGGTTCCACCCAGAAACACGAAACCCAGCAAGGTCATTCTTCCAGCTATCTCCAGTCAGGTTCCATGTTAGTGAGGGTGGGAAAACACAACTTGAAGCACCCTCAAACCGCTTTTTTTTTCTCCCCTCTTTGGTTTCCGTTTAATCAGGGAACTGATTGGGATTTGAATTCCTGGTTAATGGGGAAACCAACTCAACACCTCCAAACCACCAACCCAAACCACCGATTGCAAGGAAGCTGATGGGTAGGTTGTCAGCTTCCCTCTGATGGGTGGTTTGGAGGCTAAGGGGGGTTTTCCCATTTACAAGGGCTTCAAATCCCCCAACCACTGCAAAGCACCAACCGGGTCAGCTGCTTCGGCTCGCTTTCGCTCGGAAGGACGTGGTGCACCACTGTCCGCGCTGTCTGCGGGTGCTAGCGACGCGCAGCCGGGTGATGCTGCCCAAGCTGAGTGATGAGGCCGGGGCCACAGGAACCAAACCGCCAGTCCCGAAATAAAATGCTGGAGGGCGTGTGTCAAACTTTGAGCCCTGAGAATGGATTTCCTGTTGGTTTCCTCTTGGTTTCTCTTCATATCCTCAAAAAAGAACACACAAACAAGCACACGTCAAGCCTGAAGTGATCCAAGTGGCAGCATTTGTCATGCATTGCCTTGATGCCACGCTCGTAGATCTTGAACGCATCCTCGAAATACTTGCGACTTTTTTCCTTTTTCGTGGGGGTGGGTGGGTTCAAGGGGTCTGGATCTCAATGTCCACTGAATGTTTCCCAAAAATGAATGGGACATTTTGTTTTTTGAATCAATATGTTTATGTAGTCTTGGTTTGTGCTTGCATGCCATTTACACAATGGTTGTATGCTTCCTTACAAAAGCTTATAATGGCATATACCCCTCCGTTCCTTTTTTCGGCCCATGCCTCAAAAATGGTGTTGAGAATGAGATCGCTGGTTGTCCCTTTGGTTGATATGTTGGGTGCCCGAAATTGGGAGTCGTCAGCCCCGAGCCTTGAATGCTTTCGGACACTTTGTGAGATACCATCCATGGATCCATCCATCCATCCATCCATCCATCCATCCATCCATCCATCCATCCATCCATCCATCCATCCATCCATCCATCCATCCATCCATCCATCCATCCATCCATCCATCCATCCATCCATCCATCCATCCATCCATCCATCCATCCATCCATCCATCCATCCATCCATCCATCCATCCATCCATCCATCCATCCATCCATCCATCCATCCATCCATCCATCCATCCATCCATCCATCCATCCATCCATCCATCCATCCATCCATCCATCCATCCATCCATCCATCCATCCATCCATCCATCCATCCATCCATCCATCCATCCATCCATCCATCCATCCATCCATCCATCCATCCATCCATCCATCCATCCATCCATCCATCCATGCATGTGTGTACTTGCACAATCGTTCGCCACTCCCCCCCTCCCCAACCCCGCACCCCCCCCCCACCACCCCGGGTCGACCAACCCCGGTGTTTGAGATAGGGAGACGGAGCCAATGAATACATGGCTGGTGGTCAAAACCCATGGTACCATTTTGGGGTAGGTGCACCACCCATTTTAGTCAATTTTAGTGGGGATTGGGATGTTCACTGGAGGTACGGGATTTTGACCCATGGCCACATGACTGTCAAGCCGCTGTGCATTCCACCCAAAATCTTTTCGCTTTTGTGGCTTGCCGTTTTGGTGTATAGTCATGATCTTGAAAGGCTTTTCAGTTCTATTTCGGGTGTTATAAGCGAGGTGTGAGTTGTGACCTTGCGGGCAAACTAGTCGATCGCGACAACTAGAATGCATTTACATTTCTTTGGTTCGAGTTGATTTCTACATTTCTGGGTCCTATTCCGCAATTTGCAGATTCCTCCAAAGCAAGCGAAAGGGGACGGTTCTTTCGCTTGTCCAGACCCTGGAGAGCTCTTTCCAAGTGCACCTGCCCGCAATCTGCGGGTTGCAGATTGCATCTGGTTTGTTTTGGTGCTTGCAAAATGACAAGAATCTACCGGGGGCTTGCCGACAGGTGATGTCCTTCCGCGTTGGCAGCTGTGCCGTTGTCCTGGCACGCAAGGCGCGTGCGAGGGGTCTGACCGCCGACTGACCACCTCATTCCATGGATGTGGCCTCTTTGGGTTTTCTCAAAGTTTGGGGACCTCCAAACTGGCAGGTCTCCTTTTGGCGTCCCGTCAAACCCGCCCCCAAAAAGGGAACCAAAAAGGGAACCCTCAACGTCGCTTTCTTGCCAGCGCAGCACCTTGAGCCGGCCCACCGAGTCGGCCCCAAATTCGAGCGTCCTCGTTTGGGCATAGCAACCGCTCGTCGGCATCGGCGACATGAGCATCTCGAAGCGTGCCAGACGAAGAGCGGGGATTTGCTCGCAAGTTCCAGTTTGCGCGGGCTTTCGCGCGCATGTGAAACAACTACGCCGCCAGTGGGGTGTTTTTTCAAACTTTTTGCTTTGCAACCGCTGGCGAGTTTTCCAAGGGAGACCCTGGGTTGCCCAGCGGTTCATTCCTTCTTCTGCAGGTTCTGCCAGGGAGATACGTGAATTTTTGGGGTCTGAACATGGCAATGGTTGGCCTAAGGGATCTGAAAGGCGGTTGGTTTCGGTTTTCCATTCCCGCAATCGGTTGGTTTCCTAAGGTTTTCTTGTCTGATCCCGAAACAAATCGGCTACCAAGAGAAGACGTCTTTCAAGTGTTCCAAACTTGCCGCGGTGCGGAGACGCAAAACTGGGGCCAAGTCCCACCGGCCAGGGCTTGGGCCAAAATCGAGCTTGGGATTGCAGGGCTTGGGCCAAGCAATTCTTTGGTGCATTTTGCTTGGCTGTTAGGACTTTAACTTTTTGCAAACTACTGGGTTTTCCACTAAACCACTAAAAGTTAGGGGAGCAGAAAGCAACCGAGAATTGTAGATAAAGGTTTTACTGTGTAGACATCCGCATTTTGAGGGTTTCGGGGCTTCTGCTTTGCTTGGGCAGAAACGACCGAAGTGTCTTCTCCCGGGGATCGGTTTGGGTCCAGCTGCTTGGATGACGACGCCAGTACGTCTTCGCCTTGCTGGCCATGACGTGCCTCATTGGCGGCGTGCACTGGGTGAGGAGACCATGGTCCAGGTCCACTAAAAACTTGGTATTTTTCACCTCCCAAACAAGCACTAAATCCTGTCCCCTGGTGGTTGAATTTCGACCCATGCCCATTTGTTTGGGATGCTGCACATTCAAACTTGGACTGTATGTTCGAGCTTCTTTCACCTCCCAAACAAACGGCAAAGAGAGCTGTGAAGCTGGCAATGGGCTTCCGCTTAGCTGACTTAAATGGGTTGAAGTCAGGTCATGGGGTACGTACGAAATCCTGCAACCACCTAAGAAACCCTGGAATGATGGTTCTAGAAGTACCAACCAAACATGGTTTCACCACAGTTTCATATGGTTCGAAATGGTTTTCGTTTAGTGGGAATCCAAGTCAATATGTTGGGCAAATTATGAGGAGCTAGTGAAAACAGGTTTGGGCATATTTTTGCCTCCCCAAAGTTTCTTCATTGAGGTTGTGATAGAAGAGCTCTGAGAGCCATGGGGGCGTAATGTTTTGCTACCCCAATGACTGGGTTTTCAATATGAGCCGGTCTTTGTTTGAGTGTGTCTGTTTGAGGGTGTGTTGAAGGGCAACCAAAGGACAGGATCTGAGCAGCTGAAGGCTATGTTCTGGGATGGAGCTGCAGGCTCTAGGGTTGCAGGGTGTTGCGGGGCCGAGGAGATTCTGCTTTGGGAATCCTTCACTTTTCTGGATGACATCCCCCGAGAAAATAAAAACGAGGGGTTCCACTTGGATCCGGGGTCAACACCACCAAGCGGGCTTATCGGATTCTCCTTTTTTGAGACGTAATTGATGACTCAATGCGGTCTGGGAGCCGAAGGCAGGGGCCGAAGGATGCGAAGAGGGTCGAGATTCAACTTCGTGAATTGGTCACGAAGCTGAATTGGGACGTGAGTGCTGTATTATTATAGGGCTATTGCTTGTTACCTATCATTCTTATTATTTTTATCATCATTATGGTTATTTTTCTTTTGAAGGATCCAACTGGTCTTTCATTCGTCAGAAACAAACGCGCCCATGGCACCTTCAATTGCATTGCCACCGGGAGCAAACACCCTCCCTCGGTAAGTAAAAACCACCAAACGTTTCGTGTGCCAGACCCGACAGCATTTGTGGCAGAGGCAGTTGGCAGTTCATTTTTCCCTGTCCTGCGCTGTTCTGCTGACCACGCACACTGGGGATAAAAAAGTTGTGAGGACACCATTTCTTTGGTTCATGTTGCTGGGATGATAGGACTTTTAACTTGTTTGCCAACTAATTGGTTTTCCAATTAAACCACTTCTTTTTCCTCTTCTGGGGAGCAGAAAGCCACCGAGATTTAGTGGAGAACCGAATGGCATTCTGCCAAAAGAGGGGGGGCGCCATTTCTCACGGCGCGAAGGTTCAGAAGTCCTGATCGGTGATCTCCTTGCGGAGAGTCTCCTGACACCAAAAGCACTCTTGTGCGCCACCAATTACTCTGCAAATTGACATGGAACCCCAAAAAGCTCACCCCCCCAAAAAATTCAAAGAACAAAAAGAAAAGACAATAACCAAACAAAACTACGAAGAAAAGAAAAGAAAAGAAACAAACACAACTACGAAGAAAAGAAAAGAAAAGAAACAAACAAAACTACGAAGAAAAGAAAAGACAAGAAGAACATAATAAGGCGTTCCTCTGGTGTTTTTGGGGTTTCAAGTTCATTTCTGTAGGAGAGTAAGGGCAGGATTTCGGGACCCTATCAGGAGATCAGCCGCGCCGGTGCGTCACTCAGTGGCTGCTTCTGTGGCGAAAGACGGCCAGCAAAGCGTGGATTTGCGCCAGCTTGGTCACCCTTTTGGTTCAACCCGACCGGGGGTGCTTTTTTGTTTTGTTTTTCTGGGGCAAATGACAAGATTCCAAGCAAAGGCTTTCCAAATGGTTTCCCTTTGGTGTTTATTTAACTTCAGGTAAAGCCACTCAGAAACAGTGGCTTTGGTGACACGTCTCCAGTTCCCCTTTCTTTCATGTTAGACAACCTGCAACAGGGACGCCGACTCAAACTTCTCCCAACAGGGACCCCCCAAACTGCGGGTTGAATCCTCCCATGTGCTCCCATCTCCGAATGGCTCTTTGGGTCTTTCTTTTTTGGGGAGGGCCACCAAAAAGAGCGCACGTTTCGATGTGAGCACCTCTTGGACACCGAAACCTGCTTGGTGAAAGGATTCAGCTCGCTGACTGCGCTTGTCGGTCAAATCGACCAAGTCAACCGGGGCCAATGAGAGCCTTCAGGACCAAAGCGGAGGAGCCTTGATGTTTGGAACGGATGGAATAACCTCACCAACGAGCATCCGGGTTTTGACTGCACCGGTCGGAGTCATCGGTGGACTCTGTGTCTGAAAAGAACGTGAACCAGGCTTCTGAAGCGGGTGAATCTAGGCCAGTCAAGCTTTGGCAACCTACTTTTCAACAGTGGAGCAAGTACCCTTATTGGGAGGTTTCTCAACAAGTGAAACCAAAACAAGAGCCGAAACCCATTTTGGAAGTTTAAATCCCCATGTTGACAAAACAAGACCACTACATCGGAAAAAAGGACACCCTTGATGACATCTCAAAAAATCAACCACGAACTCGAAAGGAGGCCGACTTTCCAGCCGGGTGGGGGGGGGAACTGATGTTTGGTAGCAGCGATTGTTGAAAGGATTTTCTTGTGAAGGGAAGCAGGGCGATATGGCCATGGGTCGAAATCCCGTACCCCCAGTGAACATCCCAATCCCCACTAAAATAGAATGGCGCGCCTAACCCAAAATGGGATCCCATGGGTTTTGACCACCACGGCCATATCTCATCTCGCGGCCCCGCGCGACGAAACGACTCGCGCTGTTCGCGTGGGAGGCCACAGGAATCGATGCGGCAGTTCGGGGAGAGGTCTCCGATCTGCGCGCGGAGTCTCAGGGGTGGGGTGGGGGGGTGGGAGTGCGGGGCCTGGAGAAAAAGAGAGAGAGAGAGGCGCAAGACGTGTCACTCCCCCGATGTTTGCCTCTAAGAAGTTTGCTGGTTGAATCGGAGCAATGGGTTTCATGTCGTTGAGGGGAGCAGCTTCGGAGTATCCCGAACACCGATTAGGGGTGGTTCCGGTCTCTCGGAAGGACGTGGTCGATTTTGGGGGGTCCCTGCGAAATCGCCGAAGTCGCCCGGCGCCAGTTGAGATTGGTGAAGCAAGCCTAGTATTCGAATCAGGATCACTGGTGCCTGGCGCGGATGTCGACCATCAAAGATCCCCAAAGGGACGGTTTCTTTGTTTTTCCTCCCCGAGATTTTTCCCGCTTTGGTGGTTTTGAGCACATTTCGGGGTTCAGAAAAAGGGGGGCTGGGGGGGGGGGGAGTTTATTTTACGGGTGGCTGGTTGAAAACCCAACGGCGCAGCTCCAAGCCGCCGGGCTCCAAACCAACGAGGGAAAAGGCTCGGCTCGGTTTCACGGTGGATTGCGTGCTCCGAGAAGACGTGGGCTGAAACGGGGTTTTGTTTCAGGTTGTCATGAGCAGTCCAGATACACCGCCAGGTAGTGTAGTACAGAAGACACATGGGGCGAATGGTCACCCTCTATTCTCTCCCCCTTTTCTTTTCCTTCACTCCCCATTCTTCTTGCCGTACCCTTTTCCTTCCATTTACCCTTTCCCTTTCCTTCTTCCCCTGCCCTACTCTTCCCCTCACCCGCCTTCCCCCCCAAGGAATCGGGGTGGTTTTGAGATGTGGGGCTGTCTTTTGTTTGACGGTTCCCTGTTTGGGGTTGGTTTACAGGGTTTTGGGGTCGAACCCTGTTGATGAATTGACCTGGCCTCTTCGCACCGCGCTGCCAGGATGGGAGGACCGCCGTTTTGACCATGGCCTGAAGTGAGTGATGGCTTCGCAAAAAGCTGGAAATGGTCCACACGGCTTCTTGCTGAAACCAGCTTGTATTTTCACAGCCATGTCTCTCAAATTCCTAGCTTGAGATACAGTGCCCTTCGCCGGAGGATTTGAGGATGGCTTTGCTCCCCCCATGCCGCTACCCCCAACGCGAAATGGGGTATGCACCTTTTACATGCAGGGTACTGCTTACAAACCAGGGAATTCGTGAGGCTGATGAGATGAGGCAGAGGGGTCGTGTTTTTTTGGCTCTGCAGGATTTCCTCAAGGACTGCGGCTTCAAAACGTACCTGGGCAATCCGATCCATGCCGCCTGGCCGGATTTTTTGCGGACGGAGAAATCTCAGATTCCAAGGACCATTTTTCAGGTAACCCTGAATTGGTGTTTAGTGGTGGGGAGTTGAACCCTGCTCCTTTCGATGCCAAACGGGACAAACCAAAACCCTCAGCGCCCACCAAACCCGGTGAGATGTTTTTTTTCGTCCAAAGGGGTCCGAGAGATGCACAGCTGAGGTTACAGTGGCCTTCAATGAGAAGTTCAAGAACAAAACCTTGCAGTGGCAAGGCGCCTGGGAGCGGCATCGATTGAACCAGCGAGACGGAGGGCCGCTTTGTTGTCGACGGATGCGAGGACCACGGACGGCTTTGTTTGAAGTTTACAGTTGTTTGTTGTGTTTTGGGCAGTGGCTTTGCACCTACGGAAGACAGCCGGCTTGCACGAAGCTGTAGCTTGCCATCCGCGAAGTGGCAAGTATAGTTTTATGTCCAAGCGTGACAAGAGAGCCATCGGCAACCGGAACAACAGGACACTGGAACAACCTCTGTTGAGCAATTTAACTCCAAATTAGCTAGGGATTCACGTAAACTCTTTTTGGCCATCATTGAATTGCAACACACAAAAAGCGCGTCGTCTGAGCGTGTTTTTCTTTCTGCTTCCCTGAAGTGAGCAAGCTGAACAGGGCAGCAGCTCAAGCAACCGCACCCCATTTCCCCCGCCCTCCACCGCGCTCCACCGCGCGCCGCGCTTGCGCACGCTCGGTCGCAGGCGCGGTGCACCGAGTGGAGGAGGGCTTCAATCTGCTCGGCTTCTCACAGCCCAGCGCCATCTTCGCCCCTGCCCGAGCTGGCGCGCGGTATTTGAGGGGAACGAGCGGGGAGAAAGGACTTAACCCCTGGTTTGTCTGAGGAAAGTTTGGGGGCCCTCGAAGATTGCCCTTTGAACCTGCCCATGGTAGGTGTTGCAGGGGTTTGGGCTTAACATAGGGGCCAGCAAAACACTGACTTTTGCACCTATCAACCAAGAGGCCAACTCCGGGATGTCAGCCGAACCGCCGAGTTTCAACCACCGAGATTGGTTTTGTACTTGGAATGAGAGCGCGAGGCGCATTTTTCTTTGACCGATCCGCGCCGTCCAATGATCCGACGTGTGGATTGCACCAGAAGAATTGCTGGAGCCAAGGTCGACATGGAACCCCAGCAGTTTCCTCTGAAGCGGGACGTCTCTGACTTGGTGCCGGGAAGGGGGGGGGGAAGCGGTTTTGGGCAGATCTCAGTAGGTTTGTCGTGCTGGCCACCTGTTCGAAGAGCAGATCCACCTTGCCCATGTCTTCGTTCAGGAGGGATGTGGTTGAGCTACGAATTTGGTCGAGTTGACCTTGGCGAGTTGGCTGCAAGGGACACTTATATAGTCAATGCATTTGCTCAGCTTGCTTGGAATCACTTCCTTGGGGAAGGGGCATCTTTTGCGCCCGAGCAATCCTTGCCCCAGGCACAAATAGTCCGGCGAGGCAGCACAGCTCAGCCGTTTGGGCTTTTCATGCGTGTGATTTTGCGTCTAAGCCGCAGATGCTTCCGGCAGTGGCACCGGCAGGTCACGTTGCCTTCTTGCCTTCCGGCCTTTGTCAAGATGGACCCCCTGGAATGGCTGTCGTGGCTTCCCTTTTAACCACCTGAAGAGAGTACCAACTCAAAAGACACTCGAGTCACAATCAAGACCTGATAAAATGCTCTACCCAAATCCATGTATATAAGGAGTTTCAAAGGCGGCCGCACCTATTTCTGACTGGGACCGCCAACCTTCATCTGCCCATGTTTTGATTGCGACTCCCGGCTTGCTGAAGAGGTACTCTTCTACAAGCAGGATGCCGAACTGGCATCCAAAGTGAGGAAGTTCAAGCGAGGAGCGGCTAATCTGAGAAGACCTGTCCCAAAGGGCGGTGTGGAACCAAAAACACACGTAGAGCCAGGGGGGTCTTTTTGCCACCTTCTGTGAGAAAATTGGCGACCCCCTCAAAAAGAATATCCTTCACTACGAGGGGGTTGATCATTTTTCCACGGAAGCTGGCAAAAAGGCCCCCTTTGCATAGAGCAGAGGATGTCTCCTTCTGTGGTTCCATCCTTCTCTCAAGATGCCCAACCCCGTTCTATACTCCTCTCTTGGCATTGATTCCCTGAACAACCTGCCATGTGACACCGATTGGAGTTCGCAGTTCTGAGACACATCACGGCCGGCGGCCTTCAAAGGCTTGAACCTTTCATTTGAGATGGGCATTCGGGTGTGGATCTGGGGTCGAGTTAACAGTACACGTAAAATTGCCTTTATATTTATAGAGAGGGAGTACACCCATAGTATAGCATCTAGAGTGTGGGAGCTACGCTATTACTTATGTGTATGTAATACTATTAGATGTCATGGAATACTGTTACGTATCCTAATAGTGTAGCAGAGAGTAGAACACCCACTGTAGTAATACCAACAGGCGCCACTTCCCGAAGTTGGACGCACATCACACGGTACAGTCGGACGTTTCTCAGACTTGACCGACCATTGTTACCGAAATAGACAGGCACACATGCGTGTCTGGGTATGTTCGCACTCGCGCAAACACACAAACATAGCCACCTATGTAGCCCCATAGGTGTGTGTGTGTGTGGGCTATGACAGCCTCCAACAGGAAGTTTCATCTTTGGGAAGAGCCCAGTATTGCGCATTGTATCGCTTGATGCGGTCGATTCCGAAATTTGAAAGCAAGAAGAAAGAACACCCAGTACTTTACGAGATTTCCGGCTGGTTCACGTGCAATACTTGGAGAATCTACCGTGCAAAGGTGTGGAAAACGAGCCATTGTTGTCCACGCTTTTTCTGATCCACGAGAAAAGTGTATGAAGTTGGAGTCTTGGAAGCGCAAAGCCGTCGATGGCTGCTTGCATGTCGCGCAGGAGAGAAGATAGATTTCACGGCCACAATGCTTGAGGCGAGACGTTTTTTTTTGGCAGCTGTGGTGCACTCAAAAGTTGAGTTGGGGACATGCCTCACAAACAGACATGACGTTGCCCTTGTGATGAATTCCCGTGGGTTTGGGGAAGATATGGGTATGGGTCAAAATTAAACCACCAGGATGTGGACCACAGGTTTTAGTCATCGTTTCCATTTGCCAGGGCAAGCCATTTTGGGGTGACCCGATTTTTGAGCCACAGCCACCTTGGTCTGAAAGGAAACACCCCCAAAAATCACATTCTGGGGGTCCACCTATCTTAACACATACCGTTGCATACCCAAAAGTGTTTGCGGACTGGCAATAAATGTATCAAGAAGGAGTGGTCCATTTGGGTCGATTGTTTCCGGCCCAAGACGGGTGTCGATCTCCTGAGATCAAAGGGCGTCAAGGCACGAAGTGCTCGAACGCGATGCCTGAGGGCTGCAAGTAGTCGAGACACTCAGCTCAAGTCTTCGCGCATGTTTTCCCCCAAAAATATTTTCGAGCTAAGCTTGAAAAGGCCATGGCAATTTTAAAGGGAGCGAAGGACACAACTTAATTTGAATGGTCTCTTGTCCTTTCAACCATTCTTTTTTTTTCCCCCGACATGGCAAGTTGGATCAGTGTGACCCGAACTTGTTCAGAAGGATTTGGCACAAGGACGGTTTCCTGTGACCTCCCAGCCTCTCTGAAGGTTGGTCGCCGTGGCTCGCCGCATGCCGGGCAGCCGAATCGATGGAGCGCAAGAGAGGTTTCTGCGGATGGGTGGAAGGATGTGTCACGTTGGTTCAGCGCCAGAACGCAAGGGTTATTCGAATCCTTTGGCCGGAGTCCAACTTGATTTCCCCTGTGCTTGAAGCCGCTTGCAAGGCTGATCTTGACCGAGTTTCGTTTCGGTTGGGGATGTTGATGTGGAAGTGGAAGGAGCATCCCGTCGCATGGCCGGGCTTTGCGTTTGCCTCAACCGGCGAGTCGCTGGGGTTTGTGTTGCGCTGAGATCATGGCGCTCTGGGAAGCTGCAAGGCGGGTGGGACGGGGATGAGCGAATGGGGGGACGGCTCATGCTTGCGTTGCAAGCGGGTTTTTGGAGAGACTCAAGGGGAGCAGCCAGATTTGAAGAATCAGATGCGGGTATGGGTCAAAATGAAACCACGAGGAAACTGCAGGTCTAGGGTACCTATTTTCCACAGGCATTTTTAGCCTTGCCACCCATGGCCTTGTGGCCCAGGCTTGAGGGGAATGCTGAAAGGAACGGCACCCAGTCGGGCAGCCCAGGTTCGTTCGCTCGAATGGCGTTTTTTTTTTTTTTTTTTTTTTTTTTTTTTTTTTTTTTTTTTTTTTTTTTTTTTTTTTTTTTTTTTTTTTTTTTTTTAATTTGCAAGCTGAAGGGAATTTTTATAGTCCCACTAGAAGAAATCAGCAGGTATATAATATATATATATATATATGTTTGCATGTCTTGTTTTGGAGGTAGCCTTTTTTGGGTGGGTTTAAAGGGACACACATTTTGGGGTCCCCTAAAAAATCAGACACCACCACAAAACATGTCCATATATATATATATATGCACGTATTACCTAGAGTTGTTTTGGTTGGACATATTTGAAGTTACAATATAAGGGCTTTTCCTGCTTGGCTTTGCTCATTGGAAAGCAATTCGGGCATTGGACGGGGCAGTTCTCTTCGTTGGGTGAGGGAGAGGACTGATGGACTGGACTGAACCAGGTGGATCGGGTTGCAACGCGCCCCAGTGATCCGGATTCTCCCAAACCCAAAACCACCCTTTTCATCAACCAGAAGTTAAGTAGTGGATTGGGTTCGAAACTCTGGACTGAAGGTTGGGCCTTCCAAGAAGGGCCGGAGTTAGGGGTTGGCATCAGTCACCTGGTTTGCAACCTGCTTCCGCGGCAGAAGGGCTCGTCATGGCGTTGGGATTTCTCTCAAAACTCGCCAAGTTCCTGTTGTTGTCCCTTCAAATCGGGGGGGGGGGGGAATGAGAACATGCCGTTGAAATCAACCAGGGGTTTACTTTAAGCAGGCACAGTAAAGGGTCCACTCAGGGATTTGGGGGCAACTAATATGCACCCTGCAAGAGGCGTTGTGACGGCGTGACGGGGAGGGTAACGGATAGCCGTTTTGGCAAGCGAATATTTCATGTTGGGCTTTCAAGAGCGATGCAGGCATGACTTTTCATTAGGGTCGACATCAGGAATCGGTGGGGATTGATGACCACCTCCCACTTTTGAGAGGTGGTTCCCTATTAGAATTCATAGCCATGTGAGTGACTGACAACATTCTTGATCCATCGGTTTCAAATTCCTGCGCAAAAAACACCAGGCCGGGCCTCCAAAAATGGGTGCGGTACCCGCTTCGCACGTCTTCTTTTGCCAAGGGAAGCCCATTGGACATTCCGGCATGTTTGGTTTCATTTCCAGCGACACCATTTTTGCAGCTGTCTTTTGAGGTGAAGTGTACCCTGGGGTTGGTCCTCGGTCGCCGGACTTCCCGAGGCCCGGCCCCTGAGCGCCGAAACCAAGCGCCGAAACCGGGCCGAAGAAAAGCGGGGGGCGAAAAGCCGAAAAGTGGGGGGCAAGCGATGGGAGGCCGTGGGGCGTCGTGATGAATTCAGACTCCCTTTTGGTGCTGTGTTTTTTTGCTTTTTTTTAAGATGACCATGGACGTGACTTGCTACGATCAGCAGGGAATGTGGGAATCCAGATAGGGCCCCAGGAGACCACGAGAAGAGGGAGGGTTTATGGACTTTGGAGTTCATGGCATTCGCGCGCGCCTGGCTGATGCAACTCTCGCGGCCTCGCGCCCTGGTCCAGGAATCCTTGTGGTGGCCAAGCCACCAGGAGACGTGTCACCGGTTTTGTTTTTTGGCCCGGCCGGCCGATTCAGACCCAGGTCATTGGACCGGTTTGTCTCTGAGCCACACCCGAAACTGACCTTCTGACCCAAGCAGCGTTTTTCTCACTTAGACTTGAGGAGTGGTTCCTTCCACAAGCCAGCTGCAACCTCAGGCACCCTGCTCCCCGCAGATTTCGGTCGATTTTTTTCGGGCTCCGATCCGTCCGGGAAAAACACAAAACAAAAACAAACAAAACAAACAAACATATCCAACTCCGCATCCGCGTGCCATCGAAGCCAATCGATCGAGGCCATCTCACGCCCCGAGTTTTCGCCGGACGCAGCTCGCCATGGCCAGCATCTTCGGCGCCTCTGCCAGGGGCGCCGCTCCCTGGAAGGCCTCAAGGGCAAGTGCCATAGCCCGAGCTTGGGGCAAGTTGGTTCCTGGAACCGCATCCGGTTCCGGACAAGTTTTTGGATGTTTTTGGTTGGTGTAGTGTGGGAATCCTTTGTTGATATACAAGCTAAGCTTTTAGCAGGGGGATCCCAGCAAGGTAGAAGAAACACCCGACAGGTTGTTTTCAGAGCCGATTCCTGGGTTTAAGCCTACCCGAGAGTCAACAAATGGCACCCTGTCCTTGAAACTTAGGACCTTTTGGAGTTGATATTTTGGGGATGTTTGGGACCAGTAGCGCCCCTTGGCACTTGGATCAGTCTTGAAGGCCTTGGCATAATCCCCAGCAAACAAGCAACAAAAGCATCGAGGCTGCACTCTTTGTCAGCTATTCTGCTTGGCCGCTTCTCGTTGTTATTGTTCCCCAAGACAGGTGGTTTTTGGATATATTCTTTAAGGAATCCCGTTCTTCAGGGGTTCGGCAAATCTCACAACTGGGATCTCCTCCGATACATGATTTTTAGGTCTTTCGTTTGTGAAAAAGAGTCTGGGCATGTGCTTCTTTTTTCTGTGTGCCTTTTGGAGTCAGGGAGTGGAAGCGGCCTTCCGGTGTTCCGGGCTTGAGATGCCCTCCAGGCGATTTTGGTTCTGCGCAGGGGGCCTTCGAAATGAAGCAACGGTGGTCCAAGTCTCCTGGCGGCTTCCCTTCAAACCGACCGAAAGCGTACCCTCAAAAACCGCCATCCGACAGCAACCGCGACCGCGCCTTGACGCGTAGGTGGCAGACGCATCCTGGGCGACCTGGATGAAAAAAGAATGGGAGGGTGGATTTTAGCAAACGTGCTTTTTTTGTTTGGTGTTTTTGCGTGTGTTTTTGTTTTTGCGGGTGTCTCCTTTTTTGGGTTACGGTTGTGTTGCGTGTCTCTTTTTGTTACGGGAGCCGCAAGGAAGCCCAGCGTTTGAAAAATGTGAGCGGTCCAAAGGCCGTCCAACGTCCGTGCCTTTGTTGTTTTGACAAATTCATTTTGCTTTTGACAAGTTGAAGGTTCCCGGAAAACCATGGTGGGGATTTACAGCTGGAACGGTGGAAGCTGTCCGCCTCCAAAGAGTGGCAGCCAAACTTCAGAAACTTCACAAAGACCAGTCAGGCCGGCCACGTAGCATGCGGTAGTTGCCAGGAGGCTGCCCTTTCGACTCTCGTCTCATTGCCCTGCACTTCCATTGCCATCTTGGGATGGATGACACGCCACGCAGAATTGCCCCTTGCGACCTTGCCACTCTTTTGCAGGGGCATGGGCCGGGAAATAGGGGGAAGCCTCCAAACTTGGTGGGTATTCTCTTTGTTCCCTTTCCATGCCCAAACTCGGCACGCAGCGTCTCGGCAGACGACCAAAAACATCGGCGGGATGGGATTTTGATTTTTCAATTTTCTTCAGTGGCATCATCTGTGCCATGGTCAAAAGTTTCCTATACAGGGTTGTGGGATCAAGGGGTTTTTCCCCACTTCTGTGATACAAGGGAATCTCCCCCTTTATACGGGGGGTTTGTCTTTGGGAAGCCCTTTTTGTTGTATCACAGAAGTGGTCATTTCCCACAGCCCCGTTCCTTTACCTTCTATGGACATTGGAAAATGCGAGTTTTTTTTTGTCGCGTTGGCACAAAGTTGATCCCAGAAGGTCCCAGCCAAACGAACCCCAGACCGGAGATTCTCACCTTTTTTGGGCCCGCAGGTTGTTTCCACCCGCACTTTTCACAAGGGTGGAGTTGGGGTGGATGGGGTGTATATATATATATATATGGGTATGAGTCAAAATTAAACCACCAGAAAACAAGCCATTTTGGGGTTACCCTATATTTGACCCACTGCCATATATATATACACATAACCGTCTCCCTTTTTTGGGCCGCCCGCTGTGGTCAGCGCCCCGAGGTGCGGCCTCTGCGCGCGGAGCGCGACAAGGAGCCGCGCCTGGAGCGCCCTCTTCGGCGGACAGAGGCGCGTCCAGGGCTTTGGAGCGACCAAACGCGAGGCCATGCGAAGCGGGGAAAGCGCAAGTTTTTTTTTCCTGGTTGGTTCAGAGTGGTTTCCACCCTGAAAATTAGTTGTTGTATTCCCCTTGAACCGGGGCTCTGGGCTTGAGGGGTGTGAGTCCACCTCGGGCAGCGCAAACCGCACGTGCCACGTCTCGAGCTTTTCAACGCGCGGTGGCTTTCAGGTCGCTTTGAGGTGCGGATTTCTTCAAAAGGGGCCAGAGGTTTTTTTTGTGGACGCAGGAGGTTCGGTTCGCATGTCCACAGTTGTGCCATTGTCAATGTGAGGGGGACATCGCTCCATGTCACCCGGGACCCTGACGAATGTGACCGCGTGAGCTTGCCCGGGAGTTGGCGGGCAATGCCAACCTGGAGCTGGGGGTTCTTCCCAACTGTGTACCAGAAATTCGTGAACCATGGGCTCTCATTTTTAGTTGATTCTCTGTGTAAATACATCGTTTCTGCTGGAATGTTACAGAAGGGGTTAGTTACCCTGTCGTTGCCATGGAAGCCGCCAGAAGATCTCTTGGGAAAATCGTCTTCCAGGATCCCTCAGGTAGCTTGTATGTGAGTGGATGGCAGGGTACTCATGCCGCAAGGCCGTGCAACAGCCAGGTGAAATCGGAGACGCCTAGAGCGCCAAGTCCACCCGTGGTGGTCGTGAAGGCGGGAGACCAGATGGGGGTTGCCTTTTTGGGGGTTGGGTTGCAAGGGAGATCAAAAGGACGCAGAAAAATGGGGGGGGGGGTCTCCTGATTACGTGATTAATGGGGGGCGGGGTGTCGCCTAATTTGAGGCAACTCCATGTAGAGACTTGCAGATTGGATGGCAGCACATGCTGCATGCAGTATGTCGCATGTTCTTCTCATTCATGGATAGCGCAATGGATTGCGAGGTACAAAGTATGCGTCAATATTTCTGGGGCTCCTTTCTTCGACTTCCTCTCTTGTTTCCTACACTTCGGCCATGTTGAAAATCGCATGTACTGGCTTTGCACGCCCCGATTGACACAATTCGATATACTGGTCCACTTAAAAGGCAAGCAGTCAACAAAGACCAACACCACATTGGAGTTTCCTGTTTTCTTCTCAAAGGCTTTTCCAACTGAAGTGATGCCACCTTGGTGGGGGCGTGTTTGGCTGACTGAACTGAAACCATGCAGCGAGGTGACGTCTCCCAGGAAGCGATGCGGCAAAGAGCTCTCGAAGGCGTCTGTTTCCAGCGGAGGGTGCGTTGCTCGGAGCATGGGTGTCCTTTTTGGTTGTTTTGCTAGAAAAATAGATGGCCCTGGTTTACCTTGTGATTTGATCATCTACCAGGGCCATCTATTTCCCCTAACAGGACACCTATGGCTCGGAGGCTGAAATACCCAACCTGGAAGCTGGCAGAAGGTCTGTTGGGTGAAAATGGTCTACCCGGGTCGTTCTGGGTTTTCCATGGAAGCAGAAGGGCAAGCTGTTGCCGGACATAAAATTTTCCCTCGCAACATGAAGCTGTGAGTGTAAGGGGAGAGGGAGTGGCATTGGCTAAGTGGCTGATAAACTTTTGGTCAAGATATATATAGGGGGGGGCACACTTGCGTCGACTGCCTACATCAAAGACTTGCCCGCTTTAGCCTGCATTTTCCCCGCCAGGTTTTGTTTGATATGTTTTGTTGAACAAATGATTAGCGCGGTTTTTTCCTTTCTTCCCGGGGTCGTTGGGAACTTTACCCTGAATGCCTTGTGAATGGCTGATGCTTTGGTCATGACTCGTGTTACAAGAAAGCGCCACGTCGACTGCCGTTGCTTTCTGAAAAGAACTCCTGGGCTCAAACGGTCAAACGGGAACATCGGGCCAAAGGGTCTTGTGGTAGTAGGTGGCAGCCGCGTTGGCTGGTTTCCCCTTTTGCAATCCTCTCCAGAAAACAAGAGACATGTGCACCGCAAAAAAAAAGACATGTGAACCACAACAAACAAGAACAACAACGGGTAGATGAAGGTCCCAGCCAGAACTAGTTGCGGCCGCCTTCTTCCTTCTTAATTCTTTACATGGTTCTGGGTAGACCATTTTAATACCGGGTTTGGATTGTGACTCATGTCCCTTAGACCTCGAGCCTTTCGGCAATGCCAAAGCCTGGGGTTCGCGAAATCGATCGCCTCGTGCCAGGTAGGGGGTTTTGGGGTTTGTGCCAGTGGGCTTGCTTTCATTCGAAATTGGTGCAGGATTCTGTCCATCCACAGTAGCTCTTAGTTGCTGCCTTTCTTAGACACCTCGATAAAAACGGCTGTTAGTCGCTGCCTTTCTTAGACACATCGATATAACAGGTGTTGAACCCTGACTCATAGACCTGCTGGATCTGAGCAGGCGCTCCTCCTAAATTTGGATACCCTGAAAAGGTGTCAGGACGTCCCTTGGAACGGGAAAAAGGGGGGCATCCAGGCTTCCCCTCTGCCAGGTAGATTTCCCTACCTTTTAAGGGTGTTCCGCCATAGGTGAACCTTTTAGAACAATAGCTGGCCCTGGTGAGCGGAGTAAAACCTATCCAAACCAGTGCCATCTAGTTCTGACCCAACCAATCTAAATAGGACACCTATGGTTTCTCAAGGAAAATGGGTAGATACTCTCTTGCCAACATGCAAGTGGACTGGGGGCTTCCCTATAAGAAATTGCTTTGGACAACTCCGATCGTCAGCTTCCATTCTTGGAAACAGGGTGCCCAGGTTGGCGTTTGGCAGAGACCGGACCTTGTCCTTTTTTGTCTCCATTAGGTCCGATTGACTCAAACAGCCCCCATACGCCACTCAAGCCCACCTAGTTGCCAGCAACCACGCCCCAGCTTCTCACCAAACCCTGACCAGCCCAAAGTTACCAAAAGAAACCCTAAACCCTAAACCCTGACCAACCGCCCAAAGTTACCAAACGAGTGTACCCTTCACATCGGGTCAGAGGGGGGTGGGGGGGGGGGGGGGGGCGACCTTCGCAAATTTCCGTCCGGAGGTGCAGCCTCCCCTGCCGCCGAAGGCTGGAGAAGGGGAGTGAAGACGCAGAGTCCCTTACTTTGGTGCATGTTGCCAAGGGATGTTAGGACTGGACAACTTTTTGCAAACTAATGAATTGGTTTTCCGTATTAAACCCGCTAAAAGCTAAACTTTTAGCAGGGGAGCAGAGTTCGCAACCGAGCTTACATTTTACATGTCAAGAGGCCTCTTTACTTGGGGTTCACGTGGATGGTCATCCACCTGGTAGTCAGTATCCTCAACCACTAGGATGATTCCTAGGGAACCATGGCTCAATCAGCCAACAGAGCCGAGTGTTGACCGTGGCTCACATTGCTTTGGGTACACGCGTTGAGTAGCGACTTTCTATACGCCTCCTGGTTTCTCCCTGTGAGGTTCTCTGTTGAACTCGCCTTCAGCTTGGCTTGGACCCTCACTTTCTTGATCCTGGATTCAGGCGAACACACGGAGGATCTCAAGGAACAGGTCCGCGCATGGAACGTGCAAATGCGTCAGTGTAGCAGGTCGAGTGCACTGAAATAATTTATCTCATGTCAGTGGCAGATGGCACGGTGACACTCACCCGTGTTGAGTATCCAAGCAAGGTTGGACCCAGTTTTGGATGAAGGTTCGCGCCACGAGCCAGCGAAGCTTCGCGCCTAAAACCCCTAAGAGGGCTACAGTCTATAGTAGCTAGTTCGACCAGGTCAGAAGAATGGCAGCAAGGCTTTTGGAAAGCCATGTCGGTACCAAAGTCAGAGGGCTTTGGGCACCGCTTTTGGAAAGCCATGTCGGTACCAAAGTCAGAGGGCTTTGGGCACCACTGCTCGAAGAAGCCAAGCGCGCTAAATAGGCGCGAAGCAAGCAAGCGCGCCAATTTTAGGAAGCCGACTTTTTAGCCGAAGGGACCCAAGTTTGGTGCCCAACCGGGCGCTGCTCTCTTTTTGTTGACCTGGATTCGCCCTTCAATGTCAGCATGTTTCCTTTCTGTTTCTGCTTTGTTTTTTGTGTTTTGGTTCTGTTGAAACCTTTTCGTGGGGCCTTGCAGGCTCCGTCCGTTTGCCATGGGCCATCGCGTTTGGGCGGCGGCGGCGTTTGGGGCTTTGGCTCCGGAGGATCCGGAAAAAAAAAAAAAAACCCTTTCCGCAGGCGGAGTTGCGGGAGGAAGCGGCCTCCTTGGCCACCGAGCGGCTTGGCGAAGAAGGTTTCGGTCGCTCGGTCGCCTGAAAAGAGTCGTTTTTTTCCCCCCCCAGATAGCTGAAAGCTGTAGGGGTTCTAACTTCCAATCAAGAGGGGAAAGTGATGTGCGAGATCTTTTTTTGTTTTACACTAGCCCTGGCTCGGGGCTTCACCCCGGACAGGGGACTGGTTGGTTGGTTGGTTGGTTGGTTGGTTGGCTTTGATTTGGTGGCAGTTCAGAGTTGCTCGGGGCTGGTTTCGGGTGACTGTTGGGCTTGCTCAATTCTTGCAATAAGGGCGGGTCTTGGGTTTGTTGGGGGTTCATTTAGGCTTAGTAAAGGGCTGATATCCAGGATGCTGTTGGGAGGGTTTAAGGTTGACTCTGAGTCGGTTTGGGTTGGCGTGGGGCTGATTTGCGCGAGGTGTGTGGCTCGGTTTTTGCAGTAGCTTTTGGGCTGCTTCAGGGCGGGATTGGTTGTGGGGCGTTGCACCAAACCACCCAACCAGCCCAGAACTCGCACAAATCAGCCCCACGCCAACCCAAACCTGAAACCCTTCCCAAGAGCATCCTGATATCAGCCCTTTACCAAGCCTAAATGAACCCCCAACAAACCCAACACCCGCCCTTATTGCAAGAATTGAGCAAGCCCAACAGTCACCCGAAACCAGCCCCGAGCAACTCTGAACTGCCACCAAATCAAAGCCAATAGGCAGCCCTAGTCCGAGCGAGGCCGGTGATATTGGGG